ACTTTTATTAATTATTCTCGTTACTTAAATTATAATAATACATGAATAATAACCTTAATAATTAAGAAGATATATAAAAATTATATATAACTGATAAGAATTATATAATTGTTATTTATATCATCAATAAAAATACCGAAAAAAAAATCAGAAATACAATTTTTAAAAAAAAAAAAAAAAAAAAATTATACACAAGATTATGGAGAAAAATAATTAAATATAATGTCTAATTACCATAAATATTTACTGGAATACTGAATGCTTAATTACACCTCATTAAGCCTATTAATTAAAGACTAATTAAACCTATTTACCCAAAGGATAATAATGTATCACGCTAATTGTCTAAGAGTGGCTAAGAAGGGCAATTAAGGAAAAGTAATTAAGAGATAATTAGGGATAATTAACGAAGAATAGAAAGTAATTAAGGAAAAAATTAAAAAGTAATAGGAAATGATTAAGGAAAGAGATAATTAGGGAGGAAGAATAATTAATTAAGGAAAAGTAATTAAGAGATAATTAGGGATAATTAACGAGATAGAAAAAAGAGATAATTAGGGATAATTAACGAAGAATAGAAAGTAATTAGGAAATGATTATGGATAATTAAGGGATAATTAAGGGATAATTAACGAAGGATAAAAAGTAATTAAGAAAGTAATTGAGAGATAATTAGGGATAATTAACGAAGAATAGAAAGTAAAGTAATTAAGAGATAAAGCGAAGAAAGAATAATTAGATGATTATGGATAATTAAGGGATAATTAAAGAAGGATAAAAAGTAATTAAGAAAAAGTAATTAAGAGATAATTAGGGATAAGTAACGAAGAATAGAAAGCAATTAAGAAAGAGTAATTAGGATAACAAGAAAGAATGTCTAATTGGAAGGATCAAAGATAATTAAGAAAGGGAAACGAGGAGATGAATAAGAGAGAATAAACGGAAGGATAAAAGGTAATTAAGAAAAATTCCCAAAAAGAAGGATAATCAAAAGATAATTAAGGATAATTAAGAGAGAATATCCAAAATATGTGGATAATTAAAAGATAATTAAGGATAATTAAGAAAGAATATCCTAAATATGTGGATAATTAAAAGATAATTAAGGATAATTAAGAGAGAATATCCAAAATATGTGGATAATTAAAAGATAATTAAGGATAATTAAGAGAGAATATCCAAAATATGTGGATAATTAAAAGATAATTAGAAAGTAATTAAGAATATCTCAATGATAAGATAATCATAAAGTAATTAAGAAGAAGTGCAAAGATAATTAGAAGTAATTAAGAATCTAATTAAGGAGGAACAATTTGAAGGAAAATTATTTTCTTGTTTTTTGAAGAAGTAAAACATTTTCATAATTTCATAATTGATTTTTTTTTCTGCAAATTAATTCTTTTATAATTTTTTCTTTATTGGCATTTTTTTTATTTATATTGCAAATTATTCTTTTATTTCTTTTATTGCAAATTATTATCATTTTATTGCAATTTGTTCTTTTATTGCAAATTATTCTTTTATTGCAATTTTTTCTTTTATTGCAATTTTTTCTTTTATTGCAAATTATGATTATCATTTAATGCAAATTATAATTATCATTTTATTTCAAATTATTATTACAAATCTCTCTTTTATTGCAAATTATTATTTTGTAATTTATTGCAAATCTCAGACAATTAAATTTTCCTGAATTGCAAAGTTTTCGTTGCAAATCTACATTTTTTTTTCATTGTAAATTTTCTTTAATTTGGGAAAAAAAAATTTAATTGCGAATTTTCACTGCAAATTTTAAATAATTTTACGGATTTTTTTTTTCATTTAATTTTCACTGCAAATCTTATAACAAATTTTCTAAATAAATTTTATATTACAATTTTTCACTAAAAATCGTTGACATTTAATAGATTTTTCACCATTTTTCACAATTAACAAAATTCACTAATTAATTTTCCGTTTGAAAAAGTTTGAAAATTTCTTCATATATATTTTTTTTTCCCCAATTATATTGTTTTAGAAAAAAAAATAATCTTCGTAATTTATATATTTTCTAAATTATATATTTTTTTAGAATTTCACTTTTTTGTAGATGTCACTGTTGCCAGTTTAAGATCTTGGAATTTTTTCAGTGTTGTCAGCTCAGAACATTAATTTTCTCACTGATGTCAACTCAAAATATCATTTTTTTCACTGTTGTCAGCTCAAATTGATTATTTTTTCACTGTTGTCAGCTCAGTTGTCAGCTCAATCAACAGCTGTTGTCAGCTGTCAGTGTCAGCTCAAAACATCAATTTTTCAGTGTTGTCAGTTCAAAACATTATTTTTTCACTGATGTCAACTCAAAATATCATTTTTTTCACTGTTGTCAGCTCAAATTGATTATTTTTTCACTGTTGTCAGCTCAAACATCAAATTTTTCAGTGTTGTCAGCTCAAAACATCAATTTTTTCACTGTTGTCAGCTCAAATCGATTATTTTTTCACTGTTGTCAGCTCAAATCGATTATTTTTTCACTGTTGTCAGCTCAAATCGATTATTTTTTCACTGTTGTCAGCTCAAAACATCAATTTTTTCACTGTTGTCAGCTCAAATCGATTATTTTTCACTGTTGTCAGTTCAAAACATCATTTTTTCAGTGTTGTCAGCTCAAAACATCAAATTTTTCAGTGTTGTCAGTTCAAAACATTATTTTTTCACTGATGTCAACTCAAAATATCATTTTTTTCACTGTTGTCAGCACTGTTGTCAGCTCAAAATTATTTTTTCACTGTTGTCAGCTCAAAACATTTTTTCAGTTTGTCAGCTCAAACATTTTTTTCACTGTTGTCAGCTCAAAACATCATTTTTTTCACTGTTGTCAGCTCAAAACATCATTTTTTTCACTGTTGTCAGCTCAAAACATCATTTTTTTCAGTGTTGCCAAATCAGATCTATTTAATTATCACTGTTGCCAGAAATCACAGTTGCCAAATTTTGTTTTCGATCAATTACGAAAATAATTAATCACTGTCAACAATTTTTTCTTTTTTTTTCTTTCTTTCTTTGCTTCTTAATTTATCTTTATTTATTTATTTTTCTTTCTTTCTTTCTTAATTAATTTTGATTTTAATTTTTCTTCTTCGCTTTAGAAAATTCACAGAAAAAAAAAATTATTGAAATTTTTTGGATTTTTTTTTACTTCCTTTTTTCCTTCATTTGTTCTCCGGTTTATCATATTATTCTTCATTTCTCTCTTATTCTCTTTTCTCTTCGATTTTGCTATGTTCCTTTTTTATTATATTTTCGTACTTTATCTCCACTTGTTATCGGTTACTTTCTCTCTTCTACTTTCATCTTGTTTGTTTGTTTCATCTCTTTTATTCTCTCTTTCTTTGTTATTCATTATTCTTCCTTCGTTCCTTTCTCTCCTCCACCCCCTTCTACTTCATCGATTTTTCTCCTTCTCTCCTCCCTCTATCTCTCTTTATTCTTCCCTCTAACTCCCACGTTCCTTCTTTTCTGTCTCTGTCTCTCCTTCTCTTCTCTTCATCTCCTTCCATCTCTCCTTCTCGTTATCCCCATTCCTCTTCCTTTCTCTATCTCCCTTTTTTTCTCCTTCTCCTTTTCTCTCCATCTCTCCATCTCCCTGATCGTCTCTTCTTCTCTCCCATTCCTTCTCTTCTCTCCTTCTCTCCATCTCTCTTTCCCCTTATCTTCCATTCTCTTCTTTTTCCATCTCGCTCTCCTTCTCTTCTTCTCGTCTTCTCTCCATCTTCTTCTCATTCTCTTCTCTTCTTCTCTCCATCTCCCTCTACTTCCCTTTTTCGTTCTCCTTCCCTCCTTCGTTCTCCTCTTTCTCGTCTTCTCCTTCGTTCTCCTTCACTTCCTCGTTCTCTCTTCTCTCCTCTTCTCGTCTTCTCTCCTCTCCTTCTCGTCTCTCTCCTCTCCTTCTCTTCTTCTCTCCTTCTCGTCTTCTCGTCTTCTCTCCATCTCCTTCTCGTCTTCTCTCCTTCTCCTTCTCGTCTTCTCTCCTTCTTCTCTTCTTCTCTTCTTTCCTTCTCGTCTTCTCTCTCTCTCTCTCTCTTCTCCTTCTTCTCTTCTCGTCTTCTCTCTTCTCTTCTTCTTCTCTCCTTCTCCTTCTCGTCTTCTTCTCTTCTCGTCTTCTCTCCATCTCCCTCCTTTATCGGTGTCTCGGCAGTTCCAAGTTCGCCGGCGCTGGTGCTCTCCTCAGAGGGAACGCCGTGTCATTCTGTATCATTTTAATCCCGTAAATATCATGATAAATTTTGGCTAAATCCTGCGGCAAATCCTGCGAGAGATCCTGCAGGGTGTTGTCGGGAGGAAGGATGGAAGAGGAGGAAGAGGAAAGGAGGAGGAGAAAGAAGAGGTGGAGGAGGTGGAAGGAGGAAGAGGGAGGCCCTTTATGCCTCCTCCTGGACAGGTCTCCGGGTCACAGGTCTCGAAGGAGGGGAAGGAGACGGAGGAGGAGAAGTCAGAGTCGAGGGGAGAGGGAGAGGAAGAGGAGGAGGAGGAGGAGAGAGAGGAATTCCGAAGGAAGAGGAGGAGGAACCCGAGAACGAGACGGAAGAGGAAGGAGAAGAGGACGAGGACGAAATAGAAGAGGACGGAGAGGACGGACCCTCGGAGGGAAGAGAGGAGGGGGAAGGAGAGGCGGAGGGAACAGCAGATGGGGGCTGGGAAGGGGGTGGGGGGAGGGGGGTCGGAACGGCGAGGTTCGGCCCACCTGGAACTCCGAAGTGTTCAGGTGGGCCTCCTTCAAAAAACGGAAAAGCCATGTCCTGGACGGGTGACGAGGGAGATCCACTCGGGTCCTTGCCCTTGAAGCTGAAGGACCCTCCTCCTCCTCCTCCTCTCCTGCTCTGCTCCTCCTTCGCCTCCTAATCCCGCTCCTAGGCCGCCTCCTCCGGCTCCCAATCCTATCCCTACTCCTCCACCTCCTCCTCCTCCTCCTCCGAATCCTCCATCTCCTAATCCTAATTCTGCTCCTCCGGCTCCTAGTCCTATCCCAACTCCACCTCCTCCTCCTCCTGCCCCATCAGAGGACCCAAACCCGCCTCCGAACCCACCTTCCGCAGACCCAAACCCACCGTCCGCCCCACCGAACCCGCCTCCGAACGCCCCATCAAGAGGGGGTCCTGAGATGGGTACGCTGATGCTCGGCGAACCCCCCGACTCGAAGGCTCCGCTGAAATCCGCTCCTGGGAAGCCGGCGTTGGCGTCGAAGCTGGACGAGGAGCCACTCGCGCTCGAGTCGAGGCCAGACGAGGAGCCACTCGCGCCAAGTCCAGACGAGGAACCACTCGAGCCGAAGCCAGATGAGGACCCTCGCCGAAACCAGCTGACCCACTCGGCCGAAACCAGCTGACCCCACTCGAGCCGAAGCCGGAGGAGCCGCTCGAGCCGAAGCCAGAGGAGCCACTCACATCGAAACCAGCTGACCCACTCGAGCCGAAGCCAGAGGAGCCGCTCGCGTCAAACCCCGAAGAGCCACTCGAGCCGAAGCCGGAGGAGCCGCCCGAAGAGCCGAAGCCTCCTCCTGGGCTACTCCCGGCATCCAGCCCTGCGTCGAAGCTGGAACTCGTGCCTGCGTCGAATCCTGGGATGCCCCCGATGTCGAAGCCCGCTGTGCCTCCTGGGGCGCCAGAGGGTGAGGCCGAGTCACCACCCGCGCCGAGTGCCGGGGCTGGCACTCCTCCTGCTCCGCCACCGAAGCCTCCAGCGGTGTCGAGTCCTCCTGCTGCGCCAAATCCACCAGCTCCTCCAGCGGTGTCGAATCCTCCAGCTCCTCCAGCGGTGTCGAATCCTCCAGCTGCGCCAAATCCACCAGCTCCAGAAGTGTCAAATCCTCCAGCTCCTCCAGCGGTGTCGAATCCTCCAGCTGTGCCAAATCCGCCAGCTCCAGAAGTGTCGAATCCTCCAGCTCCTCCAGCGGTGTCGAATCCTCCAGCTGTGCCAAATCCGCCAGCGCCTCCAGAAGCGTCAAAGCCTCCAGCGGTGTCGAATCCGCCAGCTCCAGCAGCATCGAATCCTCCGGCACTTCCTCCAGCTGCTGAGTCAAACCCCGCTCCGGCTGCACCAGCGTCAAAGCCTCCTGACGCAGCTCCCCCACTCAGTCCAGGGAGAGATACACCGCCAGTCGAGCCTGTGCCAAATCCACCAGCTCCAGAAGTGTCAAATCCTCCACCGGCTCCTGCATCAAACCCCCCCGGAGACCCAGCGGCGAAGCTTCCTCCTGCTCCAGGACCGAAGCCACCAGGGGGTCCCGAAGCATCAAACCCCGCTCCTCCTGCTCCACCAGCTGCGTCAAACCCCGCTCCTCCTGCTCCACCAGCTGCGTCAAACCCCGCTCCTCCTGCTCCACCAGCTGCGTCAAACCCCGCTCCTCCTGCTCCACCAGCTGCCAAACCCCCTCCTCCTGCTCCACCAGCTGCGTCAAACCCCGCTCCTCCTGCTCCACCAGCTGCGTCAAACCCCGCCCCAGCTGAACCCGCGCCGAAGCCTCCAGCAGGGGGGCTTCCAGGCCCGGCTTCCGCACCGCCGGCTTCACCAATCCCGGGAAGGGGTACGCCTCCTCCTCCTGCTGCTGCGTCGAAGCCAAATCCTCCTCCACTTGCGTCAAACCCCGAACTACCAGATCCAGCGTCAAAGCCTCCACCGGCTCCACCAGATACGCCAAATCCTGATCCACCGGCTCCACCAGCTATGTCAAACCCCGCTCCACCTCCTGCGGCTCCAGCGTCAAAGCCTCCACCGGCTCCACCGGATACGTCAAACCCCGATCCACTACCAGCTCCTCCAAATCCACCTCCAGCTCCTCCGTCAAACCCCGAACCTGCTCCAGCTCCACTTCCTCCGGCACCAAATCCACTGTCGAATCCTCCAGCTCCAGCTCCTCCGTCAAACCCCGCTCCAGCTCCAGCTCCTGCTCCGCCTACTCCGGGAAGAGGAACTCCACCGGGTTCTCCTCCGGCTCCACTCCCTCCGGCACCAAAGCCAGCGTCAAACCCTCCTCCGGCTGCTCCTCCGTCAAACCCCGAACCTGCTCCGGCGCCAAATCCAGCATCGAAGCCTCCAGAAGAACCTGCATCGAAGCCTCCGCCTCCAGCTCCAGCTCCACCTGCTCCTGGGAGAGGAACGCCTCCACTTCCTCCTGCGCCGAAGCCAGCGTCGAATCCTCCAGCTCCGTCAAACCCCGAACCTGCTCCAGCGCCACTTCCTCCGGCACCAAAACCACCGTCGAATCCTCCAGCTCCACTTCCTCCTCCGAACCACCGTCAATCCTCCAGCTCCAGCTCCTCCGTCAAACCCCGCTCCAGCTCCAGCTCCGCCTACTCCAGGAAGAGGAACTCCACCAGGTTCTCCTCCAGCTCCACTCCCTCCGGCACCAAAACCACCGTCGAATCCTCCGGCTCCACTTCCTCCTGCGCCGAAGCCACCGTCAAATCCTCCGGCTCCTGCTCCAGCTCCTCCGTCAAACCCCGCTCCAGCTCCAGCTCCAGCTCCGCCTACTCCAGGAAGAGGAACTCCACCAGGTTCTCCTCCAGCTCCACTCCCTCCGGCACCAAAACCACCGTCGAATCCTCCGGCTCCACTTCCTCCTGCGCCGAAGCCACCGTCAAATCCTCCGGCTCCTGCTCCAGCTCCTCCGTCAAACCCCGCTCCACCTCCAGCTCCAGCTCCGCCTACTCCAGGAAGAGGAACCCCACCAGGGGCTCCTCCGGCTCCACTTCCTCCGGCACCAAATCCACCGTCGAATCCTCCGGTTCCACTTCCTCCTGCGCCGAAGCCACCGTCAAATCCTCCGGCTCCAGCTCCTCCGTCAAACCCTGCTCCAGCTCCGGCTCCACCAGGGGCTCCTCCGGCACCAAATCCACCATCAAATCCTCCGGCTCCAGCTCCTCCGTCAAACCCTGCTCCAGCTCCGGCTCCACCAGGGGCTCCTCCGGCACCAAATCCACCATCAAATCCTCCGGCTCCAGCTCCTCCGTCAAACCCCGAACCTCCTCCGGTGCCAAATCCACCATCGAAGCCTCCAGCTCCAGCTCCGGCTCCAGCTCCGCCTACTCCGGGAAGAGGAACTCCACCTGGGGATCCTCCGGCTCCACTCCCTCCGGCACCAAAGCCAGCATCGAAGCCTCCTCCTCCTCCTGCTGCTCCTGCGTCGAATCCTCCTCCGGCTGATCCAGGACCAAATCCTCCGGCACCTGCGCCACCTATGCCAGGGACGGGAACACCTCCACCAGCTCCAGAGTCGAAACCTCCTGCGCCAAATCCTCCTCCGGCACCTGCTCCAGCGCCTGCTCCAGAGTCGAATCCTCCTGCGCCAAATCCTCCTCCGGCACCTGCTCCAGCGCCTGCTCCAGAGTCGAATCCTCCTGCGCCGAATCCTCCTCCTGCTCCAGCGCCTGCTCCAGAGTCGAATCCTCCTGCGCCGAATCCTCCGCCTGCTCCAGCGCCTGCTCCAGAGTCGAATCCTCCTGCGCCAAATCCTCCTCCGGCACCAGATCCAGCCGCCCCTCCTAGCCCGGGCAAGGGCATGCCTCCACTGGTCCCATCAAACCCGGCGCCTGCTCCGGTCCCTGCCCCAGGAGCGGTGCCTGGTGCTCCCCCAGTGCTCACTACACTCCCATCGGCTCCGAATTGCCCGGGGATGCGACATTCCTCCGGCACGAGGCTCGGGTGCTGCTTGCCCAGGAGGAGGCAAGGATCAGAAGATGGACCGCCTGCTCCGGGTCCCGCAGGGCTGAAGGGGGAACCTCCTGCGGCAGATCCTCCTGCTGGAGTGCCGGGACCTCCTACCCCAGGAAGCGGCTTTCCTCCGACTGGGAAGGGCACGGCTGGGGCACCTGTTCCGTACCCTCTACCCTGATTAGCCAGGTTCTTGTGGACTAGGAAGTGAAGGCGCTTGGCTTCCTCAACCTCGTCGCTATCAACCGGGTGGATGCCCTGGGAGCTGAGGACGCGGTATCCTCCCTCGTCCGCAATGTACTGGACGCGTACTTCCTGGCCTCCGGGGGCCGTCCAACCGAACTTGCCCTCCATGTTCCCGTTACGGTGAACCGTGTGGTCCTGGAACTGATCCTCGAGTTTGTAGTTCCAGTGGATGCTTCCCTGCGTGTCGATGTTGTGGTAGTACGTACCCAATAAGTTCTCGCTCAGGGCCAGGCGGTGTTCACTCGTCTGGTCGTTGTACATGTTGACGAAGCTCTCCGGCCTGAAGATCAAGTCATCGTCATCGTCATCGAGATCGTCGTCATCGAAACCCGCGCGTTCGAGGGCATCCTCCACAAAGTCATCCAAGTCGTCGGGCGTTTCGCTGGAGACCTCGAACGACTGGAAGTTCGGGTTGCGGAACGTCTGGACCAGCTGCTTGCCCGAGCCGCTTCTGGGAACCGGTGGAGGGAAGCTAGCCGTCTTGGGGATCAAGACGTTATCCGGAGCGATCTTGGGAATACCCGCCGGATGGTACCGCCTCCCAAGACTCATGAACTTCACATTACCGTCATCAAAGTCGTACAGATCATCACCATCGTCATCATCATCGTAATCATCATCATCATCATCATCATCGTCTCCGCTCCTCCCAAAGACAACATGCTGAGAGGAAAAGGAACCGAGGCGCGACTCGCGACTCACTCCTTCGCCACTCCTGGGGTCCTCCGAACTCCCAAGCCGGATGGAAAAGTGGCTATTCGCAGCGGCTGCCTGGCTCGAGGTGGTCAGGGCTGCGACGCTTCCCTGGGGTCCTGTTCCTAGACCGACCGAGTGCCCGTTGACCTCAAGACTCCCGTCGTCAGAACCTGAAGATCCCCTGGAAGACTCCTCGAGACTCCTTTGTTCGTGTGTGGCCTCGGCTTCGTCTTCGCCGCTGAACGGAAAGGCGGAAGAAGAAGAGAGAAGGAGAAGAAGAAGGAGAGCGAAAGATGGTACCCATTTCTGGTACCTAGAGGATGGGTCTCTCATCTTGTGTGGTACCTGCAAGGGAGAAGACAGGGGATGA